ATTCATTTTATTTTTTATTTATTTATTCATTCATTCATTTTATTTTTTTATTTATTTATTCATTCATTCATTTTATTTTTTATTTATTTATTCATTCATTCATTTTTATTTTTTTATTTATTTATTCATTCATTCATTTTATTTTTTTATTTATTTATTCATTCATTCATTTTATTTTTTTTATTTATTTATTCATTCATTCATTTTTTTTTTTTTTTTATTTATTCATTCATTCATTTTATTTTTTTATTTATTTATTCATTCATTCATTTTTATTTTTTTTTTTTTATTTATTTATTCATTCATTCATTTTTATTTTATTTTTTTTATTTATTTATTCATTCATTCATTTTTATTTTATTTTTTTATTTATTTATTCATTCATTCATTTTTTATTTTATTTTTTTTATTTATTTATTCATTCATTCATTTTTATTTTTTTTTTTTATTCATTCATTCATTCATTCATTTTTATTTTTTTTTTTATTTATTCATTCATTCATTTTTATTTTATTTTTTTATTTATTCATTCATTCATTTTTATTTTATTTTTTATTTATTCATTCATTTTTATTTTATTTTTTTATTTATTTATTCATTTTTTTTTATTTTATTTTTTTATTTATTTATTCATTCATTTTTATTTTATTTTTTTATTTATTTATTCATTCATTTTTTATTTTATTTTTTTATTTATTTATTCATTCATTTTTATTTTTTTTTTTATTTATTTATTCATTCATTCATTTTATTTTATTTTTTTTTTTATTTATTCATTCATTTCATTTTTTTTTTTTTTTTATTTATTCATTCATTTTATTTTTTTTTTTTTATTTATTCATTCATTTTCATTTTATTTTTTTTTATTTATTTATTCATTCATTTTATTTTTTATTTATTTATTCATTCATTTTATTTTTTATTTATTTATTCATTCATTTTATTTTTTTTTTATTTATTCATTCATTTTATTTTTTATTTTTTTTTATTTATTCATTCATTCATTTTTATTTTTTATTTATTTTTATTTATTCATTCATTCATTTTATTTTTTATTTATTTATTCATTCATTCATTTTTATTTTTTATTTATTTATTCATTCATTCATTTTATTTTTTTTATTTATTTATTCATTCATTTTATTTTTTTTATTTATTTATTCATTCATTCATTTTTATTTTATTTTTTTATTTATTTATTCATTCATTCATTTTTATTTTATTTTTTTTATTTATTTATTTATTCATTCATTCATATTTTATTTTTTATTTATTTATTCATTCATTCATTTTTATTTTATTTTTTTTATTTATTTATTCATTCATTTTTATTTTTTTTTTTTATTTATTTATTCATTCATTCATTTTTATTTTATTTTTTATTTATTTATTCATTCATTCATTTTATTTTTTTTTTTATTTATTTATTCATTCATTTTTATTTTATTCTTTTATTTATTTATTCATTCATTTTTATTTTATTTTTTTTATTTATTTATTCATTCATTCATTTTTATTTTATTTTTTTATTTATTTATTTATTCATCATTTTTTATTTTATTTTTTTATTTATTTATTTATTCATTCATTTTTATTTTATTTTTTTATTTATTTATTCATTCATTCATATTTTATTTTTTTATTCATTCATTCATTTTTATTTTTTTATTCATTCATTCATTTTTATTTTATTTTTTTATTCATTCATTTTTATTTTATTTTTTTAATTATTTTATCTATTTATTTTATCTTTTTATTTATTTCTTTTTTTTTAACTTTCAACCATTTAAAAAAAAAAAAATCTTAACAGACCTAAAAATGTAATCTTTCAAATATTTTATGGTGGAGGGTGAGAAATTATTAGCCCAACCCACATCCCTTTTGTTTAATGTGATACTTTTCAGCAACCAGTCAATAAAAATCAGATTAAATTTTTTAAGTCTGGATATACAAAAATCTAGTGACTGAAAGTTACAGCTTGGCAGATTCGGATCATTGAGGACAATGTCATCTCAAGAGCTGGATTACAAAAACAGCCAAGGAAAGACAGCCGATATCAGAAACAACAAATCTCTTGTATATCTTGTCGGTGTCAAATTTGACAAGCCCTCTTCTCAATATGTGCTCTAGAAATTTCAACTCTTTCTGATGTTAATTATAAGTGTCCTTTGTTTCCATTTTCTCTAAAACTTTGTAATTGTTCACATGTTCAGTCCATAAATCCTTCTAGAGAACCACATTTGTTACTTAAACTTATTTAGCAAACACCTTACATAAGATTAGCTAGATTCTGATAAAACAAACTAGAATGAATGCTTCATAGAATTAAAACTATTTCAGAATATGAATCATTTAATCATGTACATCAAAAAAGTTTGGTATCACAAAAGAATACAAAATTTGCAAATGATCTTAAAACAAAGAAAACTTCAAAAACACAACCTTTAGCTTGCCTTTTGGAAATTAGAACAGAGAGTACTAATATTAATTTACAGTCAGACAAATGTTCTCATCTTTGTTGTGGCTATCACAATGTTTCAACTGTTGTGACCTTCTTTAGGCATCTATCAATCAAGGTAACCTTCAAAAATTTTTTTAATTGAATCTTGTTTAGTCTATTGGGGTAAATTGGTCTCGGTCAGCTGTCCATTTAGAGATATTGTTTTATTCTTATTTAGTATTGCTTAATTTAGCTCAACCAGTTTCTAACACGTCTAAGTCTGTATTACCTGTACCAGAGATTGAACTCCTAATAACTATATCACCAAATTCTCAAACCAACACTTTAATCCACCAAGCTATTTTCAATCCTTAACGTAGAACTTTGAGTCTTGAACATAATGTTCTTTCCTTCCTGCTTGCTGCTGCTGCAATCACACTTGACTGCTACTTCTTTTCTTACTACTGCTGATGCCTTATTTTTTCTTTTCTTTATTAATAGTTTCCATGCAGTATTTATTTCTGTGTTAGACCTATGAGTAGACTCTCCTAGCTAAGTAGATGCATTGATTCTTCAAGACACTTAATTCCAGTGTTCTCTAGTAATTTTTTTTTTTTAATTTTTTTAAGATTATTCCACAGAATACCAATAGATAACCTGATGGAATGTTAACACCCTGAGCACAAACAACATTCTTTCAATTAGGGTGTGATATATATCAGAAGGAGAAAGGTGTGTCTATGGGTTTGCCAACATCATCAGTTATGGTAAACATATATATGGAATACTTTGAGAAAATGGTTTTAGGAACAGTACCATTATATCCTTAGATGTGGACAGTAATCTACTCCTCTGTAGATTAAATAAAGGGCTCGATTTAAAATTCCCTGAAGGTTGAACAAATTGACAGGCCAAAAAGCACAAAGTTCAGAACATTATGACAAAAGAGACATTAGTTTAAATGTAATAATGAAAATGATAATCCTTATAGAAATTAATCATTGAGAAATCAAACAATTTGAAGATTTTTCTATAATGAGACATCGGGATCTGACTTCTGAACAAAAGTCGAGACTAAAAATCTTGATCTGTCAAAGTCATATTTAAGGACGATGATACAATCTCCCTCCCCACCTTTTGTTAAAATTGCATGCATCTTTTTTTTTCCCAAGGGTATTATTTAAGATCAATATCTTGAAATGTGTGGGATTATGTCTCATTTCTTTTAAGAAAAAATAAAAAAAAATAAACAGCAAGTTTAGACTTTTATATTTTCAGCAATTACACACAGACACACAGTATTTAGACATCTTGTAGCCAAACATGCCTGCTTTCAAAGCTGTGTATTTAGAGCTTTTGAGACCCAAATTGATCAAATAAATGTTATCTTTTCACCAATAATTGATTTCTTAAAATTTTCTCATGTATTCATACAAGCTTTAATCATTCAACCATATCATTTGTAATAGCAAAATTTTTACTGTCTTTTCGAGGTTAAAAGTACAATCAAGAATTTAATTAATATTTTGGTAATTATCAAGCAGTTAAAGAAAATTCATCATGCCTAAAATGCCAAGTATGAGAAGTCAATCTAAATATTGAGAACTCTTATGTCGCACCAAGTAAAAAAAACAAAAAAAAACAAAAAACAAACACACACACACACACACACAAACTGAAACATCAATTTTACAACTGCAGGTTTTAGATTAAGATCATAAAAAAATATCACATATAATGCTATTTAAAAATGCATAAACTTGTAATGAAAAACAAACTTTCATGTTTTATGATTTACTTATTGAAGCATAGCATATGATATCCTTTTATAATATGGTCACTTCCAGTCATATTGGTATAGAAATGCATACATATGTACACACTAAAGGATATATTACTTATACTTCAATATTACAATGCTCATGTAAGGAGATGAGAAAAAAGTTTGCAATAAAAGCCTAACACATCAACAAGATGATACAGGCTTTGAAAAAGTCCAACCAATAACAGAAAACAAAAAATGAATTAGCTTTTTAACTCACAACTTATCAGTTAAACAGGTTGTTGTAAGCAATTCTAACAATGCAAAAGAAACAAACCTAGGATTTCTTATTCTTAGTATAGTGCAATGTTGGAATTTTTATCTTTTAAGCTATTTAATTTCATAGTAGTTAAAACTAAGATTAGAAAAATATATTAGTTTTAAATAACTGACACAAGAAGCAGATCAGTAAAATATTAAATCATTGCACACTCATATTCAGTTTTGTTAAAAACAAAATTCTTTGCTGACTGATACTTGTTTGATGCATTGAACAAAAAAAAAAAAAAAAAAAAAATTTTTTTCAAGAGCAAAAAGTTCAGTTTATTAAGATTTACTTTTGTTCTCTAATCACTTTTATTCCATTGACTTTTAGACTAAAATAGGAATCTCATTTGAAGCATTTGTCTGTTAATATTCATATTTGTCATGTGGTCTATATTTAGTAAATGATCTTTCAATTCTGCACAGTGTATAGTACATTTTTCATTAAGTTATGGCTTTTAAGAATAAGTGGCTTATGGCCATATAATGTTGAAATACAGGTTCTCGTACAATCACTGAAGTTAGGCAACATTGAGCCTGCTCAGTACCTAGTTGGGTGATCCTTTAGGAATACCAGGTGCTGTAAGCTTGTATGCACAAATGGTGTAATGGATAACAAGTCAGAATTGGAAATCAAGGAACTAAGTTCCAATTCCAGCTGGGTTCATGATATTCACTTATGTAGAAATACCCTTGGGAAATGTATGAATCCACCTCTTCTACCTCCAGCTATAGGTTAATTAGTAAGACTCCTATCTGTAAATCATTATCTCCCAAAAATTCTTACAACCTAGAGACATTTTCTGGCTTTAAATGACCTGCAAAAGGTTGATAAGCTGTAAAAAAACAAATCAATCAATTTAAGAGTAAGCAAAGTAATGATATCAAGCACAAAAGTTAATCCATAGCCATATGAAGCTGAGAAAGAAAAAAAAGTTTTCTTTTGTAAAAATCCACATGATACCAATAAGAGATTTGTGAAACAAAATTGACATCAATCAATTCAAGAAGAAAATTATTTTTTTTAACTGTAAGGTTCACCCTGTACAAGGCCTGAGGATTACTTGTGGTAAAGGGTTATGTTAAGAGGTAGTTTGTATGGATAAGACAGGGAGATAACGGTGAACCCTAGATGTGAACAGGTTAAGATTGTAGACATCATCTCAGGAGTCAATTCCACAGAGCAGTAGTTCACAGGAAGAAGCTGTTAGAGTGAAACTTGCTTCCCACCAATAAAAATATTGTGTCTTGTAATAGGCAACCATTTTTATGATTTTGTTCAAGAAAACAAATGAGGACAAAGTAAAAATCTTGACAATATTTAGGTGTTTATGCACAAAAAAAAAATCAAAATCACCAAATAATGAGGACAAAGTTTTGTAAATGAAGAAGAAGAAGAAAAAAAAAAAAAAGAAACCAAAAGAGAGACATTACAAATGTTTTTTTTTTCTAACCATACAAACTAATTTTACCATAACAGTGTGATTGCTACAAAAACTGTTCCAGACAACTCAATCTTGTTCATATGCATAAAAACAGCAAAATTTTTGTTAGGTCATAAAAACAACAGATCTTGTTTAAATAACTCATCCTAATTAATAAATAAAAATATGACATCCAGTCTTAAGACTTGATCCTGGGAAAATGAAAATAAAAGTCATGACTGAGATGCTGCCATTCATTCATTCATTTGTTTGTTTTTTTTTTCTTCTTTTATTATCATCTAGTTTATATTCATGTTTACTTATCTAACCTTCCACACCCATTTGTTTACAAGAAATTATCTTCCTACTTTAGGAAATCCCTTGAGAGTAAAATGTTATCAACACCAAGCAGTACAGTTGCACTTTTTAAATATAAATTTAAGATTATAGTCAAAGTCCTATACTTGTTAAATTCTAATACAAACTTAAAAGGAATATATTTGTAATCATTGCAAAATAAAATTAATATTAGATTTCAAAATTGAAATGTTTGTCAAATATTTGCAGTTATCTAAAATGCATGTCTCAAGTTCTAAGTTATTTGTTCAACCTCTGCTCAAAGGATTTATTGTTCAGAAAATATGCAGGCTGATAACATTTGTATAAAACCAAATACTGTGTAGCAAAGAATTTTGGAGAACTAAGTTAAATGGATCTATTCGTTTTGCTGCCCCTTTGTAGATAGCAGAGATGTACACAGATTGAAACAGGCATGAAGGCGAGTCTTAAGTGTTCAGACTGTGTAGTACATAAACATTTGTCTCCAGCATACAAACTTTAGTCAACTTTCAAGAACATAATCATCTAAGAGTTTGGTTCACATTCAGGTGGTGCACATGGAAAAGTTCCAAAACCAGGGACAGTATTATTGTTGACAAATAACATTCTACATATATAGTAAGTGGAGACAGAAATGCACAATAACACTTACTTCTCTAAGAAATTTACATTTGATTTGTCAATATTTCTTTATATAAAAAAATTCCAATTTTGCAATGAAGTCATAATATTAACTGTCTGAATTATCAATTACCAAGTTCAATTAAAGCACCAACAAACCTAACAAGCATTAAGGCAATTGAAAGTTTTAGTAGTAGTTTTAGTACTTTAAGATTACCTTAAGTTCAAAATGGATCACCTCAAAATTGTGAATGTGTTAGGCTGGTGAAAGAGTTTCTAATTAAAGAATTTGTAAAATAAAAAAAAAAAAAAAATAAAAATAAAAAAAAATTGTTTTTATTTCATATGTGAATTCCTCAAGGCAGGATTACATGTTATATTGTTCAAACTTGGAAATTAACTGAATTCTATCAGGCAAGCAGTGGCTGAAATATCAGGTTGTGATGGCAAATACTAATGATGCTATAATTCTATAGCAAAGGATAGGATGACAGGCATGCATGATATCATGTGACCAACATATTTTCACAATGGCCAGTGTTTCCATATAATAATAATAATAATAATAATAGAGGGGAAGCAGTCAAAGCAACAGGAAAAAAAAAGAACTAGAGAATTTCAAGATTGATAGCATTAGCAGCCTTTGCTGGGAATGCTTCCAAAGAAAGAGTGATTATTAGCTGATATGAGTTATCTCCCTTAAGCATGGAAAGGAGAAGGAGAACAATCTACCCACATCAAAATTCAAAGCTTACTAAGTATGACAAGAGGCACCTGAAGAAGACTGGATGGTACAATGGCTGAGAAATCAAGAATATATACTCATCTAAATTCAAAGGCAAAAAATGAAAACATTTTCCCAAACTCTCAAAGAAACTCATCAAATGTATCTCCAGTGTTGATAAAATTTTCTCAGTTATGAAGCAAAATATATTCAGTTACAAAAACGTCTCAACTTTGCTTGCTAGTCCAATATGCAACCAGGAAAAAAAGAAAAGAAAAAAAGATTAGGGATGGGAGAGTGAAATGGCAACATGATTGTTTTAATAAAAGGTTAAATGAAAATGTCATCTGAAGAATATGTTAGAGAAAATTTTGAGCTGATGAATTACTTTTATTTATATTATGTCTTTACAGTTTGACAAGTACCTTCATCTAGGGTGTTGTACTCACAAAGGTTGAAATGCCCTGAGTATAACAACTCTGGAGTATACTAGTTTGAATGTAATGGTACATAAGTTTTAAATTAAAAAGGAAAAAGTGTTACTTAACAGTGTAAATGAAGATGATATATTTGCTATAAATTAAAACTTGTATAAATATACACACTATAATTAAACCTTATTTCCATTAAAATGGACAAATACATTTTCCCCAATAACCAAATTAAAATACCATATCACACTATCACTGCCATTATTTGTGAAGCTCATTTAAAACTCATCTGTTCAGTGAGAGATTGTCAACTAGTTTCCCATGAAGGATACAGAGACTCAACTTTTACTGATAAAGATTAAAAAGGGTACAATGAAGAAGCCAATACAAACATCTACAAACTTACATGGTGAAGAATAATTTGATAGCATTCCATTTTATTATTTTACATATACCTAATTAACAAATAAAAACTACTGCAATTTATAATGTTCTGAGAAAAGAAGTTAACATTTACATATTTAAACAAAGTCACAATTCTTGTTGAAATATGAACCAGAAACCTGTTTTATTTCAGACATGTTTATCCTTGATATATATGTCAATGTAGGACAATATTTCTTTTTGTACAAAACTGTAGTTGAGCTAAATATACTTCAAAGCAAGCCATACAGCAACATGTTGTATTCGTTCTGTATGTTATATTAATTAACATTATAGGTGCTTATAGTCAACAATGTTGTGTTCAAAGAAGCAAATTCATTTCAGCCCATTCAATGCTAACATTTTAATTTCTAATAAAAGAAGTATAATGTAGCAGATCTTGAAGTAAGAGAAATATGTGCAGGAAGATAGATGGCTAAGAATCTCTATAATGGAAAAAAAAAAAAAAAAGTTCAGGTTGCATCAAGAAGGTCAGCAGTTGCTATTTATCTATCAGCAGTAAATTTCATCAGGCAAATTTCAGTTTATAACTTTAATAGAAATATTTACAATCTTATTTGGTAGATCAAGACTTCATGCAGCTCAAGGGTTGTTCATAACATAATTATTGATATTTATTAACTTGAAATTTTTGAAGCTATTAAATATCAGTAATCATAAAGGTAAGGTGAAATAAAAGCCTAAAGAGTAAAATGGGTCTGTTTAACATTTTGATCTCGAAACGGCACAAGTCTGATAAAAAAACAAGTTATGATTGACTTTATGTTATCAATGTTATGTGCTAAAAATGGTGGAATGGCAAAAATAAATTTTTCTGACATTTTGGATTTTCTTTATTGCCATCATAAAAGGTCTTGATATTGCTTACAACTACGGAGGAAAAAAAAAAAAAAAAAAAAAAAAAAAGGTATTTTTCCATACAGTTATCTGATGAACAAAAAGATCATGTTTTCTACAACAGGGGAAAAATGACACTAAAGGCTTTTCCTGGCACTACTAAACAAGTACCATTTTTTTTTTTTTTTTTTTTTTTAAGCAGGCCATAGATGTTATTTGTCCAAATATAGAAATAGAACAATTGATAAGGATCTCACTGAAAATAAAGAATAATTTGATAGCATCATTCCACTTGAGGAGAGCATCATTGTTCCCAAAATTGATGACCCAAAGTTTGAATGTCCTACAAATGCTACCAGTGAGGAAAACATTGATCATGTTCACCACATGGTGACAGGCAATTGATTATAAATCAAATAGCCAATGCCATTAACAAATCCTGAGAGAGAGAGTTGAGAATTTTCTGCACAATGAACTTGGCATGACAAAAGTTTCTGCTTTGTGGGTTCTACACCTCCTGATAATTGATCAAAAGTGTAACAGGCTGATCACATCACAGGAAAATCTGATATTGTTCAAGATAGATCCAGCAGGTTTCCTTAAATGTTTCTTAACCAAGGATGAGTGTTGGGTTCATCACTGAGCTAGAGGCAAACCATGCAGTGGAAACACCCCTTCTCACCTGCTCCAGAGAAGGCCAAAGTTGTTTCATTTAGCAAGGGAGGTCATGGCTTAAGTTTTTTGGGATGCAAAAGGCATTGTGTTTA